CTCACTCTCGTTGCCCAGGCTGGAGTACAATGCTCACTGTAACTTCTACCTCCAGGTGGAGTGCAGTGCTCACTGTAACCTCTGCCTCCAGGGTTCAAGTGATTGTCTTGCCTCAGCCTCCTGAGTAGCTGGGATTACATGTGTGCCACCGTGACCAGTTAATTTTTATATTTTTAGTAGAGATGAGGTTTCACCATGTTGGCCAGGCTGGTCTTGAACTCTGACCTCAGGTGATCCGCCCACCTCAGCCTCCCAAAGTGCTGAGATTATAGGCATGAGCCACCATGCCCAGCCTATTTTTTTGAATATCTTCTTTCGAGAAGTGTCAGTTTATGTCCTTTGCCCACTTTTAAATGGGGTTGTTGGTTTTTTTCTTGTAAATTTGTGTAAGTTCCTTGTAGACTCTGGATATAGACTGTCAGATGAATAGATGGCAAATATTTTCTATAGATTGTCTGTTCACTCTGATGATAGTTTCTTTTGCTGTGCAGAAGCTCTTTAGTTTAATCAGATCCCATTTGTCAATTTTTGCTTTTGTTGCAGTTGCTTTTGGCGTTTTAATCATGAAATTTTTGCTTGTGCCTATGTCCTGAATGGTATTACCTAGATTTTCTTCTAGGGTTTTCATAGTTTTGGGTTTTACATTTAAGCCTTTAATCTATCTTGAGTTACTTTTTGTATAAGGTGTAAGGAAGGGATCCAGTTTCAATTTTCTGTATATAGCTAGCCAGTTTTCCCAGCACCATTTATTAAGTAGGGAAAGCTTTCCCCATTGTTTGTTTTTGTCAGGTTTGTTGAAGATCAGATGGTTGTAGGTGTGTGGTCTGATTTCTGAATTCTATATTCTTTTCCATTGGTATATGTGTCTGTTTTTGTACCAATACCATGCTGTTTTAGTTACTGTAGCCTTGTAGTATAGTTTGAAGTTGGGTAGCGTAATGCCTCTAGCTTTGTTCTTTTTGGTTAGGATTGTCTTGGCTATTCAGGCTCTTTTTTGGTTCCATATGAATTTTAAAATAGTTTCTTCTAATTCTATGAAGAATGCCAATGACAGTTTAATGGGAATAGCATTGAATCTATAAATTACTTAGGACAGTATGGCCATTTTCACAATATTGGTCCTTCCTATTCATGGTCATGGAATGTTTTTCCATTTGTTTGTGTCTTTTCTGATTTCCTTGAGCAGTGGTTTGTAGTTCTCCTTCAAGAGGTCTTTCACTTCCATTATTTGCTGTATTTGTATGTATTTTTTTTTTCTTTTTTTTTTTTGAGACGGAGTTTCACTCATGTTACCCAGGCTGGAGTGCAATGGCGCGATCTC